GCCCCCCCAGTCTGCCGGTGCCCCTCACTCCCAACCCGCAGCCCCCTCCTAGCCCAGCCCTGCCCCCCCAGTCTGCCGGTGCCCCTCACTCCCAACCCGCAGCCCCCTCCTAGCCCAGCCCTGACCCCCCCCCAGTCCTGCCGGTGCCCCTCACTCCCGACCCGCAGCCCCCCCAGCCCAGCCCTGGGCTCCCGCTGAAGTTCTTTGTCCATTAGTTCACCTTGGTCTTGGGGCCCGATTTCCTCCACGGCCGGTGACCCCTCAGCAGCCTCTGCGGACGGGTCCCCGTCTCCTGGGATCACCTGGAAGGCGACCTGCCCGCTCTCGCCCTCGCTGGAAGGAATAAACCACACCATTGACCCCCCCCTCGGGCTGGGGAGCCCCCCTGCAGGTCATTCACAGCCTGGCGCGGATGGGGCACCCCCGTCAGAGCCGTTCCAGGCTGGGGGTCGGTTGTTCCCCGTGTCCGCTGAGGGCAGGACGAGAAGTGAAGGGCTGAAGCTGCGGCCAGCGGGATGGAGGTTCGATATTGGGAGATATTTCAAGCTCGCCGGGTCGTTCAGCTCCGGAACCGGCTCCCAAGGGGGCTGTGGGACCCCACTGGAGGGTTTTAAGACCAGGCCGGAGAAACCCCTGTCAGGGCTGGTCTGGGGTGAGTAGGTCCTGCCTCCGCGTAGGGGGCCGGACCCGGTGACCTCCTGGGGTCCCTTCCAGTCCCACGATTCGAGGAGTCTCGTTCCGTGAATTACAGATCGTTGGGGGGGTTTCACCATTTCCGTGCCCAGCGTGAAAGCGGGATTTACACAAGGCTCTAGTCAGGAGGCCAAGTCTGCCGGTGCCCCTCACTCCCGACCCACAGCCCCCTGCTCACCCGGTCCTGGGCTCCCCCACAGCCCTGCCGGTGCCCCTCACTCCTGACCCACAGCCCCCTGCTCACCCGGTCCTGGGCTCCCCCACAGCCCTGCCGGTGCCCCTCACTCCTGACCCACAGCCCCCTGCTCCCCCGGTCCAGCGCGCCAA